TATTCCACCAACCACTTTTCAAAGCACTCTTTTTCCAAATTCCTCTCTTTGTGAATAACTCAAGTGGCCTTTGGTACATGCTTTCAGCATCTCTGAAAGAAAAATTCCATTTTCCTTTCTGATGTCTAGTTATTCTTTCTGCAGGGCTCAGACTAAAGAGAAGTGGTAATCTTTTTTTTTTTCTGGTTTTTTTTTCTAGTACGGGGAATTGAACTCATGACGTCATGCTTGCAAGGCAGGCACTGTGCCGCTGAGCTAAATCCCCAGCCCGACAAGTAGTAATCTTAAAGATCTACCTACAATCTCTGTTTTACAGCTCTGTCCAACTCCACATTTAAGCAATGTGAACCAAAGTGGTACCCTGGGCTCTGGACCATCAAGGCCTTTGTCTCCCTATGACCTGAAGGCTCCCTGAGCCTGGAATTCCCCATCCAGCCCGGTCCCCACATCAAAGCAGTAACATGAGATCAAGACACCTTTGCCAAAGGAGGCACGATATAGATCTGCATGGAGCTGGATGCCCCCCGACCCCCACACTCTGCTCCAGTGCAGAGCAGACCAGAAAAGGATTCTGGGAATGCTGGAGTGTCCACCTCCTCTGCAAATCCTTGGACAATGCTGGGCTCCCAGCCAACTTCTGGGTCAGTTCATTGCCTTTTGCATGCAGTGAGCATAAAGCACTACTCCAGTAGATTCTGACATATCTCTCTTTTCCAAGAGAGAATCACCTCTAACTCAGGAAAGCCTGAAGTGAAAAGACCATCACTTTCTCATGATGGCTCCTCTCTCTAGTGTTTCTTTCCAGTACTAGCCAAGTAAAGCTAAAAAGTTCTAGAATGCCAGTGTTAGACAGAGCCTTCCAAATCTTTTCCAGTAAGGGACAGAGACAGGACCAATGCTCCTGACTCTCAGCCCAGTGCTCTTGCCATTGGTGTATAAATCAGGATTCTTCAGAGGAACAGACAACGCATGAAATTAACCATGACCCTGGAGCTTTCTGCCCCCTTGCACTTGGAATCAGAAACATGTTTACTTAAAGCAGCTTTGGTGGGGCACAAGAAAGGCTCCTTCAGCACTACAGATGCACAGGAGAGCTGGTCAAGCTCTCAGAAACCACGTGAAGGAGGCCTGTGCTCCTCCTGCCTGCCCAGCCAGCCATTCCTTTGGGAAACTGTTCCACCCCATCCCATGAGGGTCTTGTGGATATGTCAGCCATGGAACTCTGCCCAAAGAACCCACTGAAGGTACCACATATGCCTTGGTTGGGCCAATTATACTTTCAACCTGGAGTAGACAAAACAATGGCCACTCAAAAATGTCCATGTCCTAATCCCTGGAACCTGTGGATATGCTACCTTATAGGGCAAAGGAGAATTATCTATGGCAGATGAAATAGGCTGCTAGTCACAGCATTAAGATGGGGAGTCTTCTACATTATCAGGCTGGTCCCAATGCAATCTTAAATGTTGTTAGAAATGGAAGAGGGGCAGTCAGAGAAAGAGGTGTGAAGCCAGCAGTAGGATCAGAGAAATGCTTCATTGCTGCTTTGAAGATGAAAGGAGGCCATGAGCCAAGGAATATTGGAGGCCCCTGGAAGCTGGAAAAAGCAAGGAAGCAAATGCTACCCTAGAGACTCTGGAAAAGCCATCCTGTGATGGTGGCCCACACCCCATGCAAAGAGCAGGAGATATCCCTCTGAGGTGGGATTTCCTCATTGGCTTACTCCCAGGAAAGCTGCTTCTATCAGATTCCAAAACAAGTGTCACATCTTCTGTACCTTGCTTCCCAAGACTGTTATGTGGGAAGTGTTAAAAACTTGAGATTTTGTTTTCTCAGCACCCATTTACCCTTGTGGTAATTGATGGGTTTCTGCCCAAATTAAAATTCTACCTGGTCACCATGGCGATGAGCCAACATGATGCAGCCCAGGTATAGCCATGTGCCAAGCCCCATCTTTCACCTTCCTGGCTTGGTTACAACTTCCTACTTCCTTTTTACAACACCCTGTTTCCTTTTTCCCAGCCCCTGGCCAATCACCATTTGCCACATCCCTCAAACAGCCACTAAATCCCACCCCCAGCCTGGTCCTGTATAGCCATTATTCTCCTGGCCTGGCCCTTGTGTGTGTGTGTGTGTGTGTGTGTGTGTGTGTGTGTCTTTCCCTCCCCCCTCTGTTCCTCTCTTCCACCCTCCCACCCTCTACCCCCTCACAGCCTTCCCTTGCCCACAAAAAAGGCATTTTTGGTTTTTTACTCGTGCCAAAACGTAACAGTAATGACAACACCAAATTGTCAAATTGTCCTTCAACAGCTGTCTCTTTCTGATTCTCAGCCTAAGGACTCAAAAGAGGATGACATCCTCCTCCTCCACCCCACTACTCATTTCCATGAGTGAGCACATGGTGCCCATTCTGACCAATCATATCTCTGCCCCAGGCCTCCCTAACTGAGGGATAATGAGGATGGGTGTAATCACAAGTCAATATACACCTGATCTTAGCCAAAAGGCCGAGAAGCGGTCATCATCACAAGTCAATATATAAGTCAGCCCAATACCTTCAACTGAAGTAGTGGACAAAGGGCTGGGGATATAGCACCGGCCAGGCAAGTGCAAGCTACTGAGTTCGATTCTGGTATCCCCCCTTCAAAAAATTTGTGAAGTAGTGGACAGGAGTCTCTTTCTTGCTGCTGAGCTTCCTAGGGGGTATTAGAGGACTGTCCTAAGGCCCTCACTCTCTCCTGCCTGTTACTTTGCAGTGCAAGAGAGTGATTGGAGTTTGGCTCCCCACACCAGGGGAGTTGTTTTAGTCCATGGGTGGTAGTCAGAAGTGACAGCTTGTTGACTCCAGCTTGTCAACAACCTGTCTACCTCTTGAGAGGCAGCTCATGTTTCTACTGACACCAACCAGATGCCAGGAGGAGGAAAGTCCGTGCAAAGATGCTAATCTGGGGAAAAGATGGAGATGTATATAGTAGACCTGAATAATCCAAACAGAAGCACAGAGTGAAAGAGTCCATCTCCGGGAGCAGAGGTGATTCAGCCAACCAGAAGAACTGTGAGCTACAAAAATAAATGTTGGCTGCTGTAAGCCACTGGGTTTTGGAATATTTGGTTACACAGCATTATTGTGGCAGTAGACGATTAAGATTCTTGTCAAGCTAGTAAGATGTAAATGTAGACTTGTCGTTGGCCAGTCCACCAAAATAAGAGTATGCCTGAAAATGAAGCCAACAGAAAGAAAAGCAAAGCCAAAAGATGGAAATGAACAGTGTTTGAATTAGATGGCATAATTTCAGTAACTGAATTAGCCCTGCTCCAAGACAATTGAGTTCAGTAATTCAAACTTTTTTCAGTAAATTTTTATTGAGCACCTACTATGTGCTTGGTATGGAGACTAGAATAAAGAACCAAACAGATACAAAAATCCCTGTCATCCTGGAGTTTATATTCTATTGTCATATATAGATAACAAAAAAAAGGCAATAAATAAGATGTTAGAAACCAATTCGTATAAAGAAGAAACACTAGACAAGGGAGAACATGAAATTTGAGGGAAGGTGTTAACATTTTAGATAGGAAGGCCAGGGAAGCTCTCACTTCAGAAAAGCCTGAGTGAGTTGTGTCAGTGCCTACGGGTGGCACATTCGCATGAAGGCTCTGAGGGACACAATGGCCAGCGTGCACAAAAAGCAGTAAGTAGGCTTTTGTGGATGAAGCTGGAGGAAGGAGGGTAGAGTAGCAGGGCATGAGCTTAGAGAGTGTGTGCTGAGTTGAATAATGTCCCTCAAATTTATATCTAACAGAACTTCAGAATGCAACCATACTGGAAAACAGGGTCTTTGCCAATGAAGTGAGTCGAGATGAAGCCATGCCAGAAGAGAGTACGTCTTAAATTCAATGTCTAGTATTATGCTTTCCCACAAAGCCTCACATGCTCATAGGTGGGGCTTTGGGGAGGTGGCTGGATCATAGGTGTGTGATACTGCAATTGAGAGTGTGTGGTAACTAAGTGAATCCACTAATTCACTTAGTATAGTTCTGGGTGTGGCTGAATGGATTTACTGAAGACAGAAGCCCCATCCTGGGTGTGGGTGGCACCAACCAATAGGTTTACAGCCTGAACGGAATTAAAAGGAAAGGGAGGCTCCTTGCTTGCTGCTTCCTGCCTGCCCTGCCATGGACTGTTTCTCCTCTGCCATGCATTTCTGCCATGCCGCCCTGCCTTGGAGCCAGCCAGCTATGGACTGAAACCTCTACACACTGTGAGCAAAAGTAAACCTTTCCTCCTTTAACTTGTGGGTGTCAGGTATTTTGTTCCAGCAATGAGAAAGTAACGAAGACAGTACCTCTGTGAGATGGCATGGAGAACAGGCCATCTGCACCTCACCCAAAGCTGACCCAGGGACCTTCAGGCTGGACAGTCTATGCTCCGTGCACTCTCTGTATCTCCCAACCCTGAAACTGCATTTCTGCTCCTCTTTGACCTCATTTGTCTTCACCCAAAATGAAACAGGGCTGAGTTTCTCCGAGGTGTTTATACCAATAGGCGAGAATGCAGAACTAAACAGCACAGCGATTTTGGAAACAGACTCAAGGAATTATTTGCCCAAATGAGTCAGATAGTAGCTGTGTGCCTGCAGGTAAGTTACTTGATCTCTCTGAGCCTCTGTTTCCTTTTCAATAAAACAGAGACAATACAAAATATCTTATAGGCTTCTATTGGTGATTATCAAAACTGTAATATGATAATGTCCTACCACTTTGTCTGTAATTCAGTGAACCCCCCTATTGCTATGTTGTCCTTCTTTTACTCTTTAAAATAAAAATAAATAAATAAATAAAATAGCTTGAGAGAGATTTAACAACATAATCAGATATTTATTTTAATTTTAGAGAAGAATATATGTGCTAGAAAATCCAAGTCAGCATCCTAAGTACTGTTTAAGATTTTATACTATTACCTGTACAAAAAATAAATATAGCACAAAATTTAATATATCTCCAGTATTATAATAACAGAAAAAAACTGTAATATGCCCAGAATGAAGGCTATGTATGAATGGAATTACTCATTCATTCATGTAACAAGTATTTGTTGAGTAGCTACTTGTCTGTAGGAGCTGGGGGTAGAGCAATGAAGAAAGCAGACACAAATTTCTGCCATCCTAGAGTGCAACATCTAGTGACAGCAGTCAGGCAACTAATGGAAAATAAAATCTACTATATGGAATATTAAAAGGAGCTAAGTCTTTGGAGGGGACATGAGGCCTGCCGTGGCAGGAAGGTGGCAACTTTAAAAAGGATGGTCAGAGAGGAGAGGACCTTGTGGAGATGTTCACCAAGCAAAAACTCGAGGAGGAAGTGAGCTGTGAACCCCGCAGGACAAGAGTACTTGGGGCAGAGGCAACGGTGACTACCAAGGTCCTGAGGTGGGATATTCTGCACAACTTTGAAGATTAACAAGGAGGTCACAGAGCCAGTACAGAGTGAGAAAAGGAAAGATGATTATAATTATTAAGTGGGTTTGTTAATGGAAGTTACGAGCCAAAGATAAGTCACTGTGACCTGCAGTCAATTTGCCTGATGACAGCAACCTAAAAATTCATCTTTTTAACATTTGAGACATTTTCTACATGACATACCAGCTCTTTGTAAGAATATTTGTGTGGCAGTGTTTTTCACTACATTGACAACTGTAATAAAAGTGTGACCTTCATTAATATCAGTAAAACCCAGATTTGTCGAGGCAGAAATGTAAAATGAACCCCATTGAACCTCCATGCTAGGAAGGGCAGCTGGATCTCCAAACTCTTGTTCCCAGGTATGTCTTCCTTCTGAAGTCTGAAGTAGCCACCAGCATGCTAGTGATGGGAGGACACTGTTTCCACTTGATGCCATCCTTTTTTAATGCCCCTGAACACAGTGGGGGCAAGGGTGGAGCAGAAGATCAAGCTTGCAAGTACTAAGGGAAAGCAGAAGAGAACTGTATTAGTTAGCTGTCCCATTGCTGGGACAAACACCCAGCCAATACCCACAATTTAAAGAGCGAGAGTTTTAATTTGGCTCACGGTTTTGGGGGATTCAGTCCATGGTTGCTGACGACATAGTAGAAGTTGCATGACCGAAGGGCATGGTGAAGGAAAGCTGCTCACTACATGGCAGGCAGGAATCAGAGAGAAAAGGGGAGGAGTGAGGGAGGGAGATGCACCCTCCAAAGGCATCCTCAGTGACACCTCTTCCAACCCGGCCTCGCCTCCCAACAGCACAGTTAGCAATGACGAGTCTACTGTCGAGTGTAGAGCTCCTACAATCCAATCACCTTCCAAAAAGTCCTTGGGGCACATTCTAGATCTAAATCGTAATAGAAACTCAGCACAAAGACCTTGTGGAAGAGCAGAGAGTGGACCTGGAATCAGCTCTCAGTCAGGCTCTCTGAGGTAAGCACTTTGTTACACTTATGTGTTCCACTCATCTGTTCATCTAATCCATCTCTACAGGGTAGCATGTGAAAGGTACAATGCTAGGCTGTGGGGCTCAATAAAATAGGCATAGGTCTCATACTTAACAAAGACACCAATCCACTATCCCAAAGGGATTAGCCCAATAAAGAAAATGAGGACGATGTAGTAACAGAGAATATCTGAGCCTATTTAGGTGGTCCGAGAAGGCCTCTTTGAAGGTGACCCTGTAATCTGAGATTCACAGAGGAGGAGGTGTCCTTGCAAAGAAGGAATGACATGGCGCCAGGTTGGGAGGAGCCCGTGTGAAGGGCCTGGGTGGAGCAGCAAGTGGATGTGTCAGAAACCCAGATAAGCTGCTCAGTGGGTAAGGGAAAGGGAGGTCATGGCTTTGGGATTTTATCTCAAGCATGCAATGGAATGTCACTGGAGTCTCTGAGCAGGCGAGTTCCTAACTGACCACATGTCTCCCAGCCCTCGTGCTTTCCCAGGGTGACACGTACTCTTTTCCCTCAGAAAGGGAAAGCGTCTTCCCACCCCCTTTGAGTCAAGGCATGGAAGTGTGCTGTGTGACTCCCAGGGACAGGCCATCAAAATGACACAGGCTCCTGTGTGGACGCCTGCTCAAGAGAAACCAGTCATCCTGTGAGAAAGACCAAGTGAACTCTGGCAGGAAAACCCTGTGGAGAGGACTGCAGGCCTCAGCTAAGAGCCAACAGCAGCACAGGCAGATGAGTCAAGCAACCCTCAGGTGACCCCAACCCCTAACCTTGCACAACCATCACAGCAGAGGCTCCACACTTTCGGGGACAGAGCTTAGACATCTCTAGTTTGTCCTATTGCAATTCCTCCCCCACAAATCCATACATTTGGAGAATGCTTGGGTGGCAAGCTACATCTTGGGAGATGTTGTGTAGCCTTAGGCACTGTGGAGAATGAGCTGGCCAGAGATGGAAGCAGAGTGGGTGAAGTTTCCTAGACAGTTCATTCCTGGGAGTCTAGATCCATAGGAACAAGAGTTTGAGATTTGAAAGGCACTGTCTCTGACCTGAGATAAAACTTCCACCCTGCTCTTCCTGCCTGAGGACCCACCTCACACCCAGATGACTGGCCTAGGAAGGTTTTCCTTCAGGCAAGAGGTGCCTATCCACAGGCTGGGGTGGGAGTGGAGTTGGGGGTCTTGCGTTAAAAAGACCATAAGGAATAAACAGGAAGCAGCACACTCAGCCACGTGGCACCCACAGGGCACATAAGGAGGAATTTATACTACTGAGACTTTCAGTGTACACACCCAAGGACACGTCCACCTTAATTTCATATATGTAACAAATATTTGTCAGAACTCATTTTTCTGTGACATGTAGCATTCAGTCCCTCAGAGTGTTTTTGATTCTTTTTAAATGTCATTTGCTATTTTGCCTACGTGTAGCCTTCTACAGACTTTTTTAGCCACTTCATTGCATACATCTAATGTAACCGGCTAAAAATCCTTGAAATGCTGAAATGGAGCTCAAGGAAAGATCCAGAATAGAAAGCTGTTACTGGCCTTCAAGAACAACAACCAGAGTTCAGTGTCAGATCTTTGTGGTGCAAAATTCACAACCCAGAATGCAATCTTCATGCTTTACAGCAATGAAATGAACGAGTCATTTTTCTTATATTAGTGTAGAACAAACATGCATTGGTAATAGACAACTTAGAAAGTACCCAGGCCAAAGGAGAGGGAGGGAGAAAAGGAGGGGAGGGAAGAAGCCGGAGGAGAGAATGAGAATTACCCACTGTCTCATTACCCAGAAAGTGATAGTTACGACTCATGCCCTGAACAATCTATCTCGTCTTAATAAGCTCCTTTTTGTTGCAAGCCAATCTGTCTGTTGTTTTTGTTCATTCACTCAATGTACAAACATTCCTTAAGCACTCATAAACAATGAACAGGCAATTCCAACCGACTGACACCAGCTCTGAGGACACTGCAGGAGTAGACAGGAGATCCCCTACCCTGCTGGCACTGGAGTCCAAGGAGTGATGTCTAACTAGACTGAAGGGATGGGTAGGAATTAGGCAGGAAACAGGTATGGGGCTAGAGGGCAATTGGAAGCAAAAAGCAGAGTGACCCGCATACCGCTAGAACTGAAGGAGGCTCATCCTAGCTGGAGCCTAGACCGTAAAGATGAGAAGCTGAGGAGATAAAGCTGGGATAACTCACAGAAGTGGGACCGTGAAGGCTCTTTCTCCCACAAGAATGCAGACCATCTGTGGCCTGTGCTAGGATCAGATTTGGAGAGGAAGAAAAACAAAGGCAGGGAGACTAGTTTTGGAGAAGCCTGCTTTCACTGTGCCTGGCTAGAGATGCTGGAAGGTGGTGGAGACCAGAAGGAGAGACAGGCAGGGTGGGGCAACGGTAGGAGACAGAATCAACCAGATTTGACGCACAGCTGCATAGGAAGGGAAGACAAAGGGAAGTAGTAGGTGCCTCCTTGTTTTCCAACACAGACGTGTAAACAGTGGTATTGCTTATTCAGAAGGGGGACACCAGGGAATGGGATGTGTTCAGTGTTTGACACAGTGAGCCCGGGTTTCTATGGGATGGATGCCCAGCTGGAGCTGACCAGTGGGGAGGTGAATGAAGCTCTGCTTCTGTTGTTGTGTCTGGCTTCCAGGTTCCCTGCACCGTCTTTGTCCCTATCATACTTCTCCACCTTGGTAATGAGACACTTTTCTGTTTGCGTGTTGGGCTTTATAATCTGGATTCTGGGTGTCTCACTTACTTTTTCTCTCGTTGCTGAGACAAAATACCCAACACCCAAATTTAAGGAAGGAAACGTTTATTTTAGCTTACAGTTCATGGAGGTTTCAGTCCATACTCAGCTGGCTCCAAGGCAGGGTGGCACATGGCATAGGGCAACAGTTCATGGGACAGAAGATAGCAAAAGCAGCAAGAGCAAAAGGGAGGAGTGGCTGCAAGCAGCCTCTTTCTCTCCCTTACATATGCAAACTATCTGCCCCAGGGCAGGTGTAACACTCACACCCATGAGTCAATTGTGAACTCTAGAATCCTGCCCCATGACTGTATGAGGCTTTGGGAGGACACCCAGAACCAAACCATACCACTGGACCTTACCTAACTTAGAAGCAATGGTTACAAAGAGAAATGGGTAGCCAACTTTGTTGTTTTGTCTATACAGTGTCAGTATTTTTTTTTTTTTTTTTTTTTTTTTTTTAGTGTCAGTATTTTTAAAAACTAAGTTGTGGATTTTCATGCAAGTTTGGGCCTGTATATGTTTTACAGCATCTGCCAACACAAGGTCATGTGTCACCACCCCCACTTCCCCTGTCCCACACACCAAAGTACATGTACCACAAAGTCTCCATCCTGAAGAAGCTCAGGAAGGCACAGTGCTGAATTAGTGTCACTGAGGTTAGGTGACTCATGAGGACAACCCCCACAGTCCACAGCTGGCCTAAAACCCAGCTGTTGATGTCAACTGTGAGACTTCTTCTATGGAAAAGACCAAAGACAGGGAACAAGGGATCAAGGAACACATCTGGAGATTAGACCACTGTCTTTTACTCAAATAACAGCCCCATATATGGCACCTTCTTGTGCCAAAGAATTGCCTATGTCCATCTTTCTGGATCTCTGTGCCTCTCCCACCTCCTCTATTGGAGAGAGGACCCCACATGAGCTAAGCCCAGCTTTTCTAGCCTTGACTGTCCACATAGATCACAGGCAGACATTCTGTAACCTGCAGGGTTAATTCCACATACAATCTGTGGACATTCCTAAACCCCCACCACCCGGATTTGTCTGACTTCATTTTTTATCCTGGAAGCTGCCATCAGGAGATTTTCAGGTGGCTCTGTGGCCTCCACCTTAGGAACTGCTTCCTAATTCTTACCCCACAGCTATGCGCGGAACACAATCTGCTTCCTGAATGCATTTCTATGGCATATCCCTTGTAGCATCAGAGAATCAACCAAGTGGTTTTCAGTTCATGAGTTTATCTATTCATCCATCCATCCACCTACCCATCCATTTGTTTATCCATCCATGCATGTAATAAGTGACTATCAAGCACTGTGCTCTTAGGATACCATATTAGCAAAACACGTGGAGTTTGCCCTCATGAAGGTTATAGTCTACTGTTGCTAACAGGAATTAATCAAAAACCATACAGATGAGCGTAGAATTATAAACTGAGATAGGTGGTTAGAATTAAAGGAATTTGTTCTAGGGGACAGTAATTAAAAAAAAATCATGACACATAACAAGTCACCAGGGAAGGCTCTGCTGCAGGAATGTTTGTTTGAATAAGGTTGAGACTTCCCAACCTTCCTGTGAGGACCCAAAGTGCTGAGCCACGTTCAGTTCCATAGCTGAGTGGAAACCAAAACAAGCAATGCAGTTTCCCATCCCTGTAAGTTATGGGTGAGGAGAGACAGGTTTCTTCCTCATGGGACACCCTCATCCCTCCCTAAAAAGTCCTGGGTAAGGCCGGCTTGAACCGCCTTACCCTCCTGGTTAATTCTGTGCAGGATCAAGCAACAACCCCGAAGAATCTGCTTCTCACAGAGCTCCTACATTTTCCCAAAGACTAACAGTTTAGAATGCAGATGTTGGATGATCCAAATATTATCCAAAATAAATTTCAAGTAGCACTGGAAGTAACTCAAGTGAAGAAAACAAATGTGT